AATCTCTATTTAATTTTTTAATATTTATTTAAATAAATAAAATGCATAAAATAAAACTAAATTAAATATTGTATACACATATTTTATGATTATTTAAATAGCTTTGAAATATTGTTTAGGTAAAAAAATTACACGTTTGAAATTTTGTAATATCTGTATAATATTTAACAAAAGTACTATATCTATTTTAATATAACGGGTCACTGAAAAAGTAAATTGGTATTTTTTATTATTGCTGATAGTTTTTTTTAATTTAAAATAAAAATAAAAAATGATCCATTTTATATACGTAGTTACATGTGTGTATATATTATATATGTATGAACACATTAGTATAATTATTTTTAATAAATAAACAGAAATACGCAAAAACATCAGATTTTTTATAAATAAAATAAAAATATAAATATTTAATTTATACAGAATAACAATGAAATTTACTTAAAATAAGGAATAAATGCAGAGCCACTATAATTGCCCCATACATAAGTGGAGATGATTTATATATAATTTACAATTATTTGAAGTATTATAACAAAATTTTCATTTATTTTAGATTTGAATAAATTTTCTTATTTAACGAATAAATGTATTTTCATGTTGATTCAAGTGTAAAAATATAATTTTGATAAATGTTTAAAGATACTTTAATAAGATAAAAAATTAAAGATACTTTATCGATAAAATAATAATAACATTTACATGAGTTATATATTTTATGAAAATGGATATTTTGCTAATTTCAACAAATCCAGCTTATTGAATAGTTTTAATTTTACATAGTCAATGTAAAAAATGATAGATCGTTATAAAAATGTACCAATTTAACTAATCAGTTAACTAATTTAGTGTGTATTTCATAAAATTAATGAAATAAAAAAATTGAATCTATATTCAGTATAGCTACAGATAAATCTTGTTTTCTATTAATCTTCGAATGAATATTTGTAAATTAATTAGAAAACATAATATATTTTAGTATTTACATTAAGTAGTTTAATAAACACCAACTTTTTATACATTTTTTGGATGAAATATAATTTTGTGCTTGTACAATTATTTAGTAAAATATAACCCATAATAATAGATCATACAAATTTACATTAGAATTTTCAGTTTAATTAAATTTCATTGAATATAAGAGTTTTTTTAATTAATGGTTATAAAAAATAAACCTTTTGAATAAAGTTAGTAATTATTTTATTATTAGTAATGTAATCATACAAAAATGTTAAATGCAATTATCGAATATATAATGATAACAAAAATGCTTTATAGTTTATAATGTTAATATATTTATTAAAATAATATTTATAAGATTGTATTTAAAAATTGTTAAAGTTTTATTATATATTGTTATAACTCATTTTAATATTAAAAGTCTATCTTTCATATAGTATAATAATCACTAGGACATTACGAATTCCATTTAGATGAATCCTTTCGATCTAGACATCGAATACATGGCTTCATATCAAAATAAATTTTAAAACTATATAAAATGTAAATATAATCATAACCTAATTATTTTTTTAAATTAATTACGAGCATTTATTGATATTATTTTATTTATTATTATTAAGGATTTACTTTTCATTGAAAAATTCATATGTATTAACTTTGTTTAAAATTTGTATAATTAAATGTAAAAAAAAAAAATAATATTAATCGATATAATATATAATATAATAATACAGATATAACACATATAAAATATATAAATTCTAACTTAGCTGTTATATTTAAGTAAAAAAAATTGTTATTTTCATTGAAATAATTAGTAAATTATTAAATTATGAAATATTTAATTATAAAAAGAATTGGAATGTATTTAAATATTTTACATCCATTTGAAGATTATTGAATGAATGTTAATTGAACTACTTGCGTAGATTTTCCTCAATCATAATTTAAATCTACATTGGAGTATGTTATGCAACCATCATCAATTCAACTCTGAAACGTAATAAATATCAAATCCTCTCTACAATCAAATATAATTCTCTCCGTAATCGGCGGAAAAAGTATACGAATATATATATAAATATTTGTATTTGATCATTTGCATGATGCATCATGAGCGATTTATTTGAGTGACAGCCTAGTTTGTTTAAGATTTGAAATCAACAATCATGCCTACGAACAACACTGCACAAAGAAGACATACGAATAAAAAGATAAGATCATTATCGTATTAACAATTGCAAACGATAGAATGGTGGACAAAGACTGGAGAAAGAATTCAAAATCGTAACACATTTTATTCTTATCTGAGTTTGTACGTACAATCAGAAAAAATTGAGGAATCGAAATAAAATTATATAAACCTAATCACATCACAGTTTATACAGATAATTTATACAGATATGCTGTACACGTAAAAATGCAAAAACTATATAAAAAATTCATGAAATTTGATGTTACAAAAACAACGATGTTATTCAATCTTATTTAATGTACATCAGAATAAGTTAATAATTTTTATAAATTAATTTTTTTTATAAATTATCATAATTATAAATCATTATTCAAATCTATAAATTTACTTTTCCATTATATCATACTATATATATATATATATATATCCACTTATGAATACGCTTTAATAATTTACAGTTTCATCACTTTTAGTTTGGTAGTGTTTATACGGTTTTAAAAGTATCTAACATTCATATATCTAGCCGAAAAGTATATTTAATGTACTACTTAAAATTGATATGAAAAAAAAGATAAGTAATAACTCAAGTTTATAATGTATATCCTATACTTACAAATTATACATTTTTAATTTATGTAAAATTTATGTAAAATTAAAAATGTATTGGATGCGATTTTTGAATACACAGAGAGTGTTCACGATGTCTCTTTAATATTAAAATGAAAGTATATTAAAATATATGTTTAATTATATTTTTTAAGTTTTTAATTTTTTTCCGCCTTGGCACATTTTAATCAATATACAAACTTTTATACTTATATTACTTCAGAATATTATATCATAAAAGATAATTATATTGTATTATTATAAAATTACATTTAATTTTATTATTCTATCAATATCAGAATTTCAAATATATCCACACATGCATATTAAAATAATATTTAAAATATTATTTATTAACACTATATATATATGTTGAAATATTTTTACACATTTGTCATGATAAAAGTTTATACATCGGTATCTTCACTATTAGATAAAGTACAAATTTTAAATAAACTATAATATTTTTACAAAAGAAATCTTAAATGATAGAAGTGCTGCATATTACCATTTTTAAGTGTATTATATGTAATAGCTTTCATGAATTAATTTGCCCCTGTTGCCTTTCTTCAGCACTTTTTATGTAATAGATTCTCTTTCCTAGCATGGTTTCCTCCTTACCCGTTTCACCTCTTACTACATAAGGACGGTAAAAGCTTTGCTGGAAGCCTCGCACACATTGCTAAATATAAAGCCAAGGAAGTGGGCAGCACAGTATGGCGGCTACCGTGTGTGTCTCTGAACTGTCGGCATCGACGAACTCTTCTTATCGTTTTCTATTTCTTTATGCTTGTCTACACTTTATTGAATATCGTGATCGCCTTTCTCTTCCCTTTTCTTACAAATTTGAAAGCATATTTTATATGATGCAAGTATTCAATAAGGACACTTTCTTAATTTTATGAGGTCAACTAATTTGTTTGCAATCATTTTATTTAGTAATTGAAAATTCGTACATATCCGGATAAGATCTAATAAAAGTAATTGCACTTGTACTAATTTTTTAAATCTGTTAACATTTTCTTTCTCTAGTTTTATAATGTTAACATGAATTTATTCAAATAAATTTTGATATTGTGGTACATATTTATTGAATTTTATGAATTTCACTTATTCATTTTATATTAAAATGAAATTTTATAAATGCAATCTTTTTTATATTACAGATTTACAAATAATAGATCACATTTGAAACAATGTTTTATATGTAATAAAAATATTCAAACACTAATTTGGTACTCAAAGGATTTCCAAAAAAATGAGTTTTTTGTATAAATAACTTCTTTAAAGAATATTTTTAATTTAATTTAAGCTGTTAAAATATTTTTTTATTTAATCGAATGCATATCATTATAAAATTGATAAATAATAGTTATAAAATCTTAGTTATATATATCTATAACTATTTGCTTATAGCTGAGCTAATCGTTGTTATATTGAATCATTAAATACAATATATTAAAAGCTGTATGTGTGTAATTAATTATAAGGAATATAAAATTAAAAAAATATATATATGTATATATATATATATATTTATATGCATTTATATATATGGTTATATGCATTTAACATACATATTAATTTGAAATTGAAAACAAAACCTATTTAAATTTTCTTCACTTTTAATACAGGCATACCTTGTATTTAAGTAAAAATTAATAGAATAATTTTTTACACTTATTCTATAGTGAAAAACGTGCTAAAAATTAATTTTCAGAATAAATAAATTATTTACCTATAGTCAACTATTATCCAATTGAATGTAAAACTAATATTTATATGAATATATTTTAAATATTCGATATAAATTTATAATCATATCACTAATTATTTTTGTTTTAATACAAAAATTATGATAAAATCACTATCATTTCATTAGCCGCATAAATAATACTAAACCGACTATAATCAATAATTAAAATTCGCCAATCAATAATTAAAAATATCTTTTAAAATTAATACTTGAAATATGCTACTGGTTATGTTGATATAACTTTTATTACAATATATCGTTAAAATTTATCACTTCATTAAATTTATTAAATTAAATTCAGATTCAAGAAAAAAATTAAGTACAAATAACATATCAATGTGAAAAAAAAGAGGAGTAATAAATGTTGCTTATTTGTATTTTATATGATGGCACATGAATAAATACAATAAAGCAAGCAAGGGTTGATTTCGCTAGAGACTATTATAGTGAAGCAATGAAATACTCGAGGCACCATCATACCTTGCTTGAGTTGGTGCTTAATGCCACGTGCCGCGAAAGCATCTCTTGTAGCGGAAGATAGTAGCAACAGTAGTAGTAACAATAATAACAAAACCGAGTCAACACAGTGCTGCATTGTTGCTCGGTATCTAGAAGCTATAGCTACTTCGAACATAGATCATTCATCAAGCGAGACCAGTAAGCTCTTCACCCTCAGCTTCCACCACTCCAAGTTTAAAGAATCCCCAAATACAAAACTCGAGGCAGGTGCTTCAGTTAATATTGGATAGCTAGACACGCGTGTACCGGGTTCAAAGGTCCTCGGACGGAATGTCAGAGCAGACAGTCTTTCGATGATGCCGCGTCCGCTCGACGATCGCATGTGGGCTTAACATAGCATTCCGTACCATCAAACCTCCATGCGGTCGGCATTCTTGATGAGTCTTAGCATTGGCAGGGAAAGCTGAAATATCGATTGTACTTCGTTCGTTCGACCGATTCGTACACTCCCGTTTAAATCTTATGCTCTCTCGGCAGACCTTTGTGGGCTTACTAAGCGTCACACTGGATAATATTTGGGAGAAAAGGTAGAAACGGCCAAGCAAAGGTCTATTTAAGAACACACGGTATAACAGCCACGGGCAAACTGAGTCTGCAACAGAATGGCGCGTTCGGACCGGTGGTTTTCTGTCTCTCTCTTGCTCTCTCTCTCTCTCTCTCTCTCTCTCATTCTCTCTCTCGCACGCTTTACATTTGAGCAATGCGTGCGACACGGAAAACTCTCTCTTGAGGTAGGATACCAGAAGGTGGTACACGGTCGATCCTCGGCGCGTGAAGCTGATACACGGCTCCATTAGAAGCGTGCACAAAGTAGACGAATCTTTTAATATTCGCTAAGAATTTTCTGCATAGATGTTGAACATTGTATCTGTTTGAAATTGCTTTATCGTTGGATAGATAATGATAACTGGTGTCAGCTGCTTGAAAGTAATTTTTTAATGAGGTTCCGTTTTAGTCAGGTTTGCTTGTGACCTGAACTTGCAAAAATATATAGAAATTCGGATCAAGATTAAAAATATATTGTATAGAAGAAATTTTTTTACAAGGAATATAAGCAGTTTTTTAATATTGCTTTTTCAGTATTTCAATAATTCTTTTGAGGTTTGAGAAACCATTTATATGATCAATAATTACAAGTTGAAATATTCTTGTCTTTATATATACGATTATTTATTGATTGGACATAAAACTGCCATTACCTGCCATTATTGTCATATATATCCATATTTCAAATGTTTCAGTTACTTAAAATATCATACTATTTAAAACGTTTAATACTCTTTCATATACTTTCTTGCAAATTTATATTATTGTTAATGTAAAATTATAATGACGGAAAATTTTATTTAGTAATGCGTACATTAATTCTACTTATGCTTTGTCAAATTAAGGAAAATATTTGAAACTCAGTGGTAAATATTATATATTTTTAATTGAAATTTATATTTTAATAAAAATATCGTATTTTAACATGAAAAAGATCTTAATATTTCAAAATAGTTGGTTTTGACATTGCTAAACATGCATATTAGAGAGTAGAGAAGTCAATTACATATTATAATTATTTTTCTTAATCCTTAAATTAAGTTATGTGCAACTTAAAAAATATTTAATAAATTAACAAACAACTTATCAAAAATATATGTGCAATTATCCGTTAAATTTAAATTATAAATTAATTTTTAAATTAATTAAAAATTTTATGGCTTATTGGTTTTCAAAAATTTATTATTTTATAAGCATATGAAAGCCACAGATAATAAATATTGATAAATATATATGCTTATGGGAACTATCATTTAAATATGTAATGTTTAAATTTATAGTTAAATAGATGCCTTCAATGTAAAACTGAAATCTTTTTTACATTTATATACATGAATAATATTTTAAAAATTTTAATAGAATGAATTCAAATAGATAAAAGTATGTAAAACCTTTTTTAAATATGTATGAAAAAAACACCAATAGCAATAGAAAAATTCATAGTATTTAACAATATTAACAATTAATAATAACACTCCACCTAAAATTTATTAATAGAAAATTTTATAGCAATTATAATTATATTAAAAATATGGATTTAAATTTTATGAAATCAGTATATGCATTGCAATAATTAAGTTTATAATTTTTATGGACAATTTCTGTATGTATAAATAATTTATATAATATTTATAAATATTTATATAAAAGTGTTTAAAAGTTTTATTCTCCCCTTTTTTAATAATATCATAATAATGGAATAATAAGAAGATATATAAGAAATCTAAGTAAAAGAAGAAACTTACAATATTGTTTCAAGTACAACTGGTATTGCCTATACAGAGAAAGGAAAAAAAGAAGGACAAAGAGAGAAAGTATAGACATTTTTGTTCCGTTCGGTGTTTCAGTCTCTCAAACCATGGTTGCTTCGCGTTAGCAGGTAAACGAACTACCTGTGTATTTATTCCAGAACCTAGAATAACTCTGTTTTCTTAGTGTTATAAAACTGAGGGAGAAAATTTGAAAAGAACGTCCAAAGATTGCCCACTTAACAACGATGATTGGGCGATTCAAGGTTGTTCAATCTTCTACTTAATTTTTTTAATTTGTTAACTTAGTATTCTGGTTCTCTCTTACTACATACATATGTTTGAATTTATTTATCTTATTCTCTTTTTTGTACCTTCTAAACACGATAATCATGTTTCAGAAAGAATATCCTATAGAAAAGTATGTATAACAGAGATCTGATTTTTCTCATAATATACCCTATGCATCAGCACAAATCAAAGACAAATCTCACGACATAAACGAAGGTAAAGTATGACCAAGAATTGATAAAAAAAAGTATGAAATATTCATTTAACTACGTAAGCTTATTTATTTTTATTTTATAAATTTGTAAATATTTTCATTATATACGAACAAATTTCAAGTCTTATCTTTATATATTTTCTTACGGTTAACACTACATTGAATTTGAAATAAATTAAAAATTATTTTTCAATATTTTTATTTTCTGACTTATTCATTAACATAAATTTGATTTGAATTTTTAACACATTAATCAGCTTGATTAATCAAGTTGAAACTGTAACGGGTTACTAAAATCGTAACGAATAATTCCCTAATAATATATTAACGAAAACTTTTTAATTTTTGCCATATGAAAATAATTAATGAACAATAATAAATTTATTTCATTATAAGCTAAGGAAATTAATTTTTAGCTTTCTTAAATATTTTATAAATAATAAACAACAATCTATAATTTTTCAATAAATAAACCTTTTTTCAGATTATAATTTCTTTTTCAATAAATCTGAATAACCAAAATAGCATTATATTAACAAAATTTTATTCATAAAATTGTAAACATGTTATTTTTTCCAGATTATATTACAATAAAATTGAACTAAAATCCTATGCTCAACGAATTCATATAAAATGATTCAGTTATACTATAATCAACAGTGAAAACGAAAAAATGATATAATAATTATTTGTGTGCAATAATTTGATCATTTTTTAATTATTTTCAAACTTATTATATAGATTATATTATATACTTATTATAGAATAATTTATAGCCTTTGAATTGAATTAATTATACAGCCAATTTTCTTAAAATAAGTTTTAGATTCAATAATATTGAAAGATGAATATAATTGTTTTAAATATATTATGCAATATAAAAAAAATATAATACAGTAAAGTAAAGATTCATTGCTAATTAATTAAAGTACCTATTTTGGTAGCTGTAAAACTGAAGAGTAATTTCATTATTAATTTTTTATATTTAAAGGTCAACAAATTGGATGACTTTAAAATATATTTAAAATTTTAAAAAAATTTTTAAATATGTATATAATGTAAATAACGAAATAGTCTATAATATGGTTTCATAAATTTATTGATAAAAGTAACTATATTATTATTACCTTATTATATAAATATTAGATACAAGAATTCAACATTATACATAAAATTTCACATATTATATTATTCCATTTATTTTTATAATATTTTTCATCTAAAATAGGAATATTCTTTAAATACTGTTGAAAAAATAGTTTTGTATAATTAAAAATAATTCATTTTATTATAAAACTTGTGTATAAAAAAATTATATAAAGTATATAAAAATTATAAAGTGTAAATATTGCATTACTATTCTAATATTGTAACATTTTAGTAGTAAATAAATTATTTACTTATTATTATACGTAAAGTATGGTCTGTAATATTTAATAATATTCAATAATTTTATAAGCATGAAATTGTTTTGAAAATGTCTTCAATATTTTCTATATTAATTTAAGCATTTTAATAAATATTATAATAGTATATTATATCTTGAAATAAGGAATGAAGAAACCCAGCACTTGTGCTATCTATATTAGAAAATGGAAATAATGAATGAAGAATGATTATATGACAACAAACTTCATTTAGAATAATGTATCGTGTCAGCTAAACTATTTGTACAATTTAAATTCATAATGCAGTTACTATATTTTTTTTATAATTACATGTAGTATTATGGTTAATAAAACATATAATGTAGCTAAAGGTATTTAGTAGATATACAATTATTCACCGGCAGATTGCGTTGGAAACAAGCTTACATTTTACGCGCGAGGCTTGAATGAGAAGATTATTTTAAACATTCTTCTTAATCTGCAATGATCAGCAACAGCGATGAATTGATTATTAATAAAAGAACACTATAATTTTAAAATTGGAATTATATTTTATATTTTCATTTCAAATTATTTCTGTAAACATTAGGTTTATAAATAATACGAACAAAGGAATGCATAGCTAAAAATTAGGACCGGCAAAATCGAGAGAGAAAATAGATCATCGGTAATAAAAATTGTTGCAAGTTTAATTAATATTTTAATTTATCATAAGCGTGATAGCTTAAATTTCTTCTATTCATTAATATACGGATAAATTTAACGCCTAATAAAAACAAGTTATATAATTATTTTCTCAAACTAAAAAAATAATATTGATATCAAAATTAGTTTGATAAATATTTTTACAATATTGTATTATATGCAATTGAAGCATGATTTATATAAAAGCATTTCTCTTGTTATAAATACACTAGAATTAATTTAGGAATTCACGGATAAGTAATATATAGAAAGTAATATGTAGAATGTAAATAATAAGTATTAAAATTTATTCACAATTAATTAATATTTATAATAAAATATGACTCGCACTTATTCAGAAATACAATCATCTTTTCATTTCATTTTTTCCTATAAATATATAATTAAATTTTCTAAAAATAAAATATAACTGATGATAAAATCATTTTCATATATATGTAGAAATAATACTTTATTTAATTTAATATTTTATATTAAATTGCTTTAAATGATAAAAAAATTATAATTCTATTTATTCATTTATTTGATAAAATATCAAGTATGCACAATATAAAATTATTTTTTTATGTATGTAAACTATGAAATTATAACTTACATATTGTAAAAATTTGTACATTGCTAATAAATATTCAACGAAATATTCTTTATGGTAATAATAATAAAATAAATTATCAATTTTTTTAATAATAATTT